GCGAGCTCTACGAGGCATTGATCACGATCACCCATGCGAAGAATTTCTTGGGCAACCAGCCAGGCGTATTCTCGATGACGATGTTTCCGACCTTTGGAAAATCCGGTTTCGAGACTGCATTCGTACTTCCAAAATATGACGGAACACACAACGAAGGATCGATAGCTTGACAACCAACGCCGCATTCCGACTCCGACCTGATGGCGAGTCATTCTTCAATGACAAGGACATGCAGCTCTATGTGAGATGCAACAGCGGTCGTTCCAGGCATGCCCCAGCAGAAGGATTACAACAAGCAAGAGCCATCCGTAGACCATTTTCGTACCAGGCTTTGATTGCGGCTCATGTCCATCTTGCATGCATCGACGACGTCACCTACAACGACGAGCCATCCGACGCAGCGCTGACTCATGCGCCCAAAGGACGTGACGCATTGTTGATCCTTGCATTTCTCAAGGAAAACCCTTACCATTGCCAACTCACCGAAGAACGCACAGCATTGACGAGCATACCATCGCGCCAACAAGCGTTGTTGCAGCATTCGATTCCGGTGGAAAGCTCATGCTGTCGAACTGTTGGACCATGAAGAAGAACCTTAACCGCGACGACATGGAGCAGCGCGAGATCAAGATCCTCGAGTTCGCGCAGCAGTCTTCGAACACGCCAATGCCGACGCATCCAACAAAAATCAGTCCGAGAAGGAAACATCCACCGAGACCAAGAAGCGACGGCGTTCCACCGGTAGAGGTGATGAAGAAGAAGAAGAGAGAATGGAATCCGAGGAAGAGAGATCCGTCAAGCCAAAGGTCATTGTGGAGATTCCCAGGCCTGAGAACTCGGAAGATTTCAATAGGGACTTCTCGCAGGTCAGTTTGGACCGAGACATGAGTAAACCCGAAGTATCCGAAGAGCTCAAGACAATCAGGGAGAACTTCGAACAGTTCATGGAGAAGTACCATGGTGATCCGAGAGGAGTTCATCCAGACCTTAATGATCGCGAGCTGAGATCCTTGGCACATGTGAATCCGAACACCAACATCGACGAGGAAGAACGGTCAGAAGCCTACCATTGAGGAGTATCGGGCAGCACATCCAACTTCCAATCGGGCTGAAGCAGTTGAGATCCCGCTACGGTCCGTTGCTTGTCAAGTCATTCACCGACATCCTTGGATCAACCGATCGCCCTCTTGTTGACCATTGATTTCAGTTCATCCTTGACGCTGAACATGCTGACCGTGAATCTCACGAGGAATCCGAAGTTGGACAACCGGGAACTCAAGAACATTCCGACCAAGGAACGGCCACTCATCATGATGATGATGGAGAACAGTGGCGACATCATGTGCCTCAACGAGGCCGATCCTTTCTTCTATCCAGACGATGAAACACCCAAGAACCTCATCAAGCTGTTCAGCAGATTCGGGCACAAAGGCATCGTACTGAAATCCTGGTCAGCAAGACCCATCACACGCTTTGTCCGAGGCGGTGAGCGCGCCAGAGTCGAGTTATTGGCACGACACAAATCCACGAAAAGCCAATGGTGGAGTACAAACTTCGGCATGTTCAGATGCTTCTTCGGAATGGAAGAAAATTGTGCCAATCCCGATTGTGATACTCCTACATCCGACTGTTTGGCGACTACCGGACCGTCCATGTTCACGGATCCCAAGAAGTATGTCGAGAAGAACAACGAGACCGCCGCCACGCACCATTGTCCAAGAACACGGCAAGAACAACGAGATCGTTGTCATCCACATTGAGCAGAACAATGAACTTCGTGGTGCAGTTCAACATCCGTTGATGCTCCGAGTCAGTATTTCGATGCCCGCCATGTGACAAGGGCAGACCTTCCATTTGCCACCATTGGAGTATTTCACATTCATCCGAATGTCACCCATGGCGCAGCAATGGAAGATTTCCAAGAAGGAATCATGCCGCTCGTCACCAAGGCCATCACAGGCGACGCAAACAAATCCGCCAACACACACAGGCTCCAAAGTGTCTACAATCCTGACAACAGCCTCATGAATTTCATCATGAAGAACTACCAAAGACATGGAACGAACGAGAGATGCCCACTTCAGACCGATTGGACTTCTCTATGGCGACCTCATGCGCAACCAAATCAGTTGTCCGTCGCTACCAACGCACGAAGACTGGATCACCAGAACATTTCCTGATTGCATGATGACATTCGTATTTGGATGGGGTAAGACAGACATCCAGGAGGAGTTCCGAAGAGCAGAAATTGCCAACATGACCGATGAGCAAATGCAAGCCACGCGGGACAACATCGAGCTCTCCATTGCCGATTACCAGGTCTCATCCGCTGAACGCTTCAAGCGCTTCAACAACAAGGCCCATGCGAGTCAGATTTACACAGCCCATTCATGGTCTACATCCGAAGCCAGGCTGCGAATTGAGAGAGGAACCATATCCGAACCAAGGAGTACCTCAAGAGCAAGAAGAGGGAGATGCAGGAGACAGCATGGAAGCCACGTGTGGAAGGATTACAATTCGACCTGGAAGGAATATGGAGACTATGGCAGTCAATCCGACAGCAGCGACCACTGGCACAAGCAGAGATGAAAAATGGCTGGGATTGCCACCTTTGGCAACATCCTCTTTGTGATTTGCCAAGAAAGAAGTTTCGGAAGCTCGACGGAGAGAGAGTTCGCACGAAATCGGCACTACGAATCTCGACCAATTGGTCCTCATCGACGACAAGACTAGTTCTACTGAGAGATCAATAGTTTTACATCAATCCTGCATGCACAAACTGTCTTGCATCATCTTTCGATACAACTAGGTATCTCGCACCATTCCATCCGCACATAAAAGAGGACGAATCAAGTAATTTGACAAGATATATACATTATCTGGCATAAGGAAAATTTACACGGCTACGGCGCACGACAAGGCTACGGCTAAAAACCAAGAAGCCAGTCATTACATAGTAACTCAGTGCTGGTGTTCAAATGAAATTTGTGTCTGTTTTGTGTTTGGTTTTATCCATTGATCACCGCACAACATTCTGGCTCAAGGCCCTTTTTGTAGAATAGCGCATCCATTGAGATTGCAGCAAAAAGGTAATCTTGCAGACCACTTGCAGCAGTACAGTGCAAGATCAACCACCAGGGACTATCTATCCATTCTCTTATCACCCATATTGACATGATGGGCTCTCTTGCGGAATAGATCCAGGTACCACATATAACGCCTCTACTACTACAAGGTGCCAGTTCCCTTCTGGGATAAGGTACTCCGCGCAGTGGAACTCACCCCCCGCCCCTCACCCGCCTTAAACACAACCGCCCGCAAGCCAGCCAGCCAACTGACCTTAAGCTTCGTTGCAAAATCTTGCGCAACATGTCTTGGGGTTGCCAGGCTGCATTACGTGTATGATTTCAGCGCAAGCGCTACTCAATAGAATGAGAGTGCAAAAAATTGGACTGCAGAGATTTAAAGGCAAATGATTAAATGCGAAGACTGCTGATTTAGCTGGTGCTTGACTTTGCCTTTGCTTTCTAAACCTCTTGTTTAATGGACGCGAGATATGTATAGAAGATATGATACAGAATCCACAGACTGCCGAATTAGCAGGTTCTTGCTCAGAATTTGCTTTTTGAACTTGCTGTACTCACACTGGGCAGTATGACACTAAAGCAGCAAACAACTAGACTTTGGGTAGTGTTTTTGAAAATGTAGGTTTTGGCGAGGGGGCTTAGCATATGTGTGTATATTTGTTTTTTATACGCATTGACCAATACTTGTTGCTCCCGATTACGGCTGCGTACTTGTTCGACAATGCGCCTACACACACAGACTGAAACGCAAAGACTCATATTTCGAATTAAGTCTTCATCCATGGAGGACCTGCGCCCTGTGCCAATTCACCGATATGCCGTTTTTAACTTCAATCTGTTTTCCGTAGGTGTCGCCTAACGCATGGTTTCCTGATATAGGTCTACACTTAGCAAGCGCTCGCGTTGACAAATGCCAAAGACCAGAGCACCAGGGACATAATCTCAGGTTTGCAAGTTGCATTGTCGCAGACACCGCGCGTTGAAACAGCCGCGCAAACGCCTTGGGTCACCTTGGCCTTGAGTGGCCTTGAGTAGCCTTGAGCCTTTGGATCTGGCGCGCGTTTCTAAAACAGTAAGCCAAACTTGAGCCAGGTTCCCCCTCAACCATTTCTCCGCTAATGCTCCTCTAGCGCTTCTCCAGTTTTTGAGTGCCCTGAGTGGCTCTGAGTGCCAGGCTCTCGCAAGTTGGCTCTGATTTCATTTGTGGTTTTGCAGGCTAGGACATGTGTAGCTGTTAAGAGCATTGTTTTTGTCGCCTGGAAACACAAATCACCACTGCTGGTTGAAAGGTGGACAGGGGAGAAATATTTCTACCAAATGAAGCTGAGTAGGGGACAGTCGCAGGAATAGTCGCGGCAATGGCAAACGTTGTAAATATGTGCCATTCTTTTGGCTGGGCCCGTTTATTAGGTTTTGGATTGAAACCATTCTGCGGTAACAGCTGCGCTGAATGTGGGTCAAAATTTTGGAATGCCAATTGTAGCCAGGCGAACGCTGAGCTTAACTTATGATGCGCCACACGCCGGAGTACTATGCTAAGTCTGTTTTCGGAGGACAACGAGTCGGTGGTTCTTTAGTGACAGGCCCTTTGTATCTCTCTGCGCCTTTGCAACTTTGCCTGTCACTTGCAAATATGCACTTGGCCAATCTGGCCAACTGTTTTTGGAAAACACCATTCAAGTCCTGGGAGAGAGAGCCAAGAGGTTGCTCTTGCCCGAACTATTTTCAAGGGAACCCCTTTTATGGGTTCTAGTAAATGCGGCGTTCCGGTCACTTGCGCCGAAGAACAACATGTGTGTAGCTTCCGTGAGGGGCCCGTTTGTTGGAACCCATTGAGGGTTAGCCATCATGTATATGATAATGTGCCCAACAAAATTTGCGAGACTTTGCGTTGCTTCAAGCTTTGGTTCTGAGGCGCAGCGAGCTCAAGGTTTTGGAGCGCCTGGGGGAGGGTGCCTTCGGGGAGGTGAATCTGGTGGAGCCCGGGGCCCCAGAAAAGTTCACGAGACGACAGTGCCAACTTTGGAGGTTGGAGGGGCAATTTGGGGGTCTCATGCTAAGCAACCCTTTGCTTGGATGGTTCATCTTCGATCAAATGGGACGGACAGGGATGTTTGGGGCAGGATCCTGTAAATCACTAGGGGTCATATGAGGCAGCTTCCCTTCAAATGATTGGACCAACACCTGCCTGTCTCGCACGTAAGATAATTGACATACACCCAACTTGAAATGATTCCACCAGCCTGCAACTTCGTTGCTTGTCTCCAAGACCCTTGACGATGGCGCCGTGATTGAAATTTGGGTCAGATGAACGTTGTGACCCGCCCGGCGGCTGCCAATTCATTCTGCCAGCAAAGATCAATTCCTTCCGGCTGGCCACAGGCCAGACTTCGCGTAGTGACGCGCAGCGAGATATGTGTTTACAATGACGCGTGGCGATGCTAAGGTGACACGCCTGTAGTTTGCGTCAGGGGCCTATGGGCGCTGTGCTGCGTTTCGGCCCTTGTTGAATTTAGACAACGCTCCGGGTGCTGACACAGGAGCCTCGGATTGTTGAAGGGTGGAGACTTCCGGTGGGAACTTGCCCTGTTGACTCTGCGAGGCACGTGCCCTCGCACGCTCTCATGGCATTGAAGGCGCTGGACAAGTCGCAGATTGCCAGGGGCCTGGCGGCCGGGCTAATTCAACTGGTGTCTGTGTGTTGGGTTGGTACAACACTTTTGTGACACATGCCCAACTGATTGGTTTAGTGGAACGTCACTTCAAACTTGTTTTGGTAAGGTGAACAGGAACCCTGTGCTTTGAATGCGCCCAAACAACATCTGGATTTCTTGGCGCCTCGGGCTTGCATGTGTTTACTCGCTGCTTCCTACCAAAAGTGGAAGCTTTGGTTGGGAGCGGGATGTGTGCTTGATTGAAGTACAAGGCTGAAGCTAAAAGAAGCCCAAAACTGGGTCATCGGTGCAAATACTACTTGAAACCCGAATGAAATCATGTTCATGAAGTGTTGGGTGGGGTTAGGCACTTCAAAGCCCTGTTAGTGACAGGAACAAAATGTTAGTGATAGGGACAAAATGACATTATCGTTCTTCAGCCTCTATCATTTTTGCCCGTCCCGCTTACAATGACAGGACTGTTTACGAGCTCGAACAGAATCACACTTATTTAGCCCCCTCCGATCCGAAGTGTCAAAAGGGTCGGCTCCTAGGAGTCCAGCGAGAGCTACAAGTGCGTGATCAACGAGAAGAATGTCATGAGGCTCGCCGAAGACGCTTCCTCCAAATCTTTGACTTTGGACGGGGTCCGAAAGTTTGAAGTTGTAGTGACGGCGCGGAGATTCGGCGTGCGACCTCACGTTCTTTTCTGGCACTTATTTACTTGAGGTTGAAGAATTCTTGTAACTTTTTGGCTCCGAACCTCTCAGCGGCCGCTGCGTCGGACATGGAGCCAGATTTGTGGAGAAAGTTGCACAGCACGGGTGTGTGGCAACGCTTTGAGCTATGTCAGACTGGATTTCCTTTGGCTCATCATCCAGCCTACCGTTTGCAGGCGGGTGACTCCCGCGCGGCGGGGGGAGCAGAACTTCGGAGGACAAGATGGTCTGGACGGACACTCCTGCGCTCAAGCGTGGGAATGCGGGGCAACATGGATGCGCGGGCTGGGTCTCTGGTGTTGGCGTGGGGCGCAGAAACGACGCAGACTGGAGGGTTTTGTGGCAAGTGGTGCGCCGCCGTGGTTTGCGGATGGTCAGACAGCTGAACTGGCAGCAAAGATGCTGGAGCGGGATTTGACAGACAGCGGTCAGTTCTGTTCTGTCCCATGAGCGGATGTGGGAGGACTGCGCAGACACTGGTTCAGGTCTGTGGAAGATTACCAGGCGCTTGCTCACATCACTGTGCGCAACGCAATCAGCCTTGTATGTTCCCAACCGTGCCAGCCATGGTCATCGGCTGCAAAGCGTGGCGGGTTGGTTGGTCAGCCTGTTACTCGGTGCGTCGCAACGCATAGGCAAGTTATAACATGACTTGTAAGCTGCGCAACTCTGTGTTATAATCAGGGCAAACAGACATTAACCAGAGTCTTAAGTAGGCCAACTGAACGGAGGTACGGCCACTAGTTAGAAGTGACTGGGCACGCAGGCGCTGTGCTTCAAGGGGCCTTTTGATGTTCGGCGCGACGACCTGCGGAAACCACGCAAGTGGATGCGTCTCAGACCAGTGGCGCTTCCCAGACCGAGGCCGTGCCCACGCAGGCTTCGCAGTTCCAGCTCCTAGCTGCGAGGCCTTGCCTTGGCAAACTCTACGACAACTCGGACCGGCCTATGGTCAAGAAGGTGATCCGCTTGGAAAGTCTACTTAAGGGAACTTAGTTTTTGAAGTAGTTCTAGTTGGCTGCACTTAGATGTAGTTAGTTGTAGTTAGAGGCAGCGTCAGAGAAAAGAGAAGGATGCTGCTTGCTTACCTACCAAGCTCAGTGATCTTCCGGAAAGAAGGAAAGTTACTGCTGTAGAAGAGATTAGGGAAAAGGGAAGGGAGACTTTGGGGAGGGGCTTATAGAAGGACAAAGGTGGTTTAGAACATTCATTTGTTCCCGGCGTTTTTTCTTCAAGATGTTTTGCGTTTCGGCTCTTCGAGGGATGTTGGCCCGATGTCGGCCTTTGTCAGCCCGCCCTCGGGGCATATGTCAGCAGCCTAGCGTGTGGACAAGGGTGGCAGAGCACATTCCTCACAGGTCAGTCTGCGATGTTGTGCGCGGGAGGGCTTTGCCAAAACACCGGCTGCCACCCCGGAGTGTCGAAGATCAAGGGAAGGTGACTTTGAGCCGGACGGGACCATCAATCCGTCCCCGTGCGACGCAACGCAAGGCAGGTGCGTCGCCTGCCAGTGTTGACCGCACAGCTCAAAGCAGGAGCTCACCGTGAGGCCCCGCTTTTCTGCTTTCCTCCAAGAGTGCTGAGATTTGGCTTTTCATGATGCACGGCGCGCGCTTTTGCAACGTGGTCCATTCCGGCACGCTGTCGAGGAAGATTTCCACACGAAAAAGAGAGCATTTTTGAGCCAGCGGAAAAAAGCGCCAGATGCGCGAAGACTTCAACAAATCTGGAGATGTTGGCAAAGGCGTCATTCGTGATGATGACGGGTCGCCCATGCCGAACGTCTTCCAATACCCACATTGTTTCCGGTGTCCACTTCTGAGCCCTTCGTGCGGCGCACGCTGGTGCCTTTGAGCGAGGCTTTTTACAGCTCGAGACCAACGGGCCAGCGCTCTGTCACTGTCGCGAGACACAACCTGAGTGTCGCCGCACGAGTTGCCTTCCCTTGTGCCAACATCTACCGGCAACACTTTCCTGCTTGCGTCAAGCGTAGTGTCAGAGATACAGAGGTTTCCGGATCGCGTGTTCGAAAAAAGGAGGCAGCGCCCAGATGTTGGGCGCGTCTTGCGCCGAGGTTGGGCGTCGAGTGGATTTTGGATGCCTTACGAGGGAATCATGGAACTACAAGACACCAAACCACATAGTTTAGAGCCCAAGGCGCCAATCGCTTTTGCGAAGGAGCCGGTCGAGTAGGAAACTCTTGGGATCCTGCAGATTGCGCCAAAGGGTCGTTATTCGGCGGCTGGGCGGAATGGATGGGCCAGCTGGGTTCCAAAATAGCAGCCGAGGCGCGGCGCAATGACAGTTTAAGCCGCAATCGGCTGCGCCGACGCAAGATGACAACATGCGATTTCCAAGGCCAAACACTTGTCAAGCTGGATCTATATCCTTGTAGAGAACCCAGTGTCGTATAGGGCGCGCCGAGTTCAGTTGCATGAGTGCAAAGCTGTGAGCGCAAGCGAGCGACAAGTATACCTTTAAACTGCAACCTTGGCAGCCAACAAAACGAGAACAGGCGGGAGGGAGGGAGGGAGGGAGGGAGGGAGGGAGGGAGGGAGGGAGGGAGGGAGGGAGGGAGGTTAGTTCACACACCTGCCCTGATAGCTTGTGTCTGCGAAAAGGCAAGCCTTGGGATCAATCGACCCAATCCGAAGAAAGAATGGCGCGCGGACATTCTAAAGATTTCTGAAGCAACTCGCCCGCCTCATTTGCCGTTAGCTTGTAAGGGCCCGCAAGTGGCGCAAGCTTTGGGGGGCACTTCGGCACCATGGACCCTTTCGACGCTTTTGCATTTTCCCGCCATTGTCCTCAATGCGTTTCCTCTTTTCCCACTATCATCAAGGTACTCGTAAAGGCTTAGGTTCATTGAAAATTGGCGCCAAAGCCAAAAGTTATCACAACTCTCGCGTTGTTTTCTTGGATAGCGCCCAGGCCGTCGGCGCTTTTTCTATTAGCCTTCCACTCTCACTCTGCGCGAAGGCGCAGCTCAAAATAAGGGATTGCTACGCAATTCCCGGTTGTTCATTTGCTCACGACTGGGCAATCATCCACCTCTAGAAATGGGCTTCACGGCCATTTGCTGGACGAGTTTAACTCACAAAGTTTTTAGGGGGTTGTGCGCCTTTTTTCGCCGTGAAACCATGGGCGCGAGCAGAAATGGCCGCGAAGTTCCGCGAATATCCGTAAATTGGCCGCGAAAACCCCTTTTTAATATGCGAAAATGCGAATTCCAAGATTCACGAAAGCTCACGCAAGTTCACGCCAAAACACCGTAGTTTAGAGTCTTTTTTACGCAAGTTCACGCAAGTCACCCCGCCCCCCTGTGTAGATCCAGGGACCAACAACGACCTCAACTACCACAGGGTTCCAGTTCCCTCCGGGGATAGGCGCCTGGGGCAGTGGGCCTCAATTCGTGGTAGCGGAGCAGGTTTTCCGCAGAGATCCAAGGGAAGATGTCATCAGACGGAGAAGGCTTCATGGAAGCCTATACAAGTATGGCCAAGCCGAGCTATACGAAGGAGACATTAAATTTATCGATGACCGCCAAGCAGCCGCCATCGTACGACGGAAAAGTCAGCTGGTTCAGGTACGAGGAACTCGTGGACGACTGGGTGACCATCACCACAGTAGAAGCATCCAAGCGAGGTCCATTGCTTAAGAGCAGACTCACGGGAGATGCTTACATGTACAAGGCCGTCCTCCAGAATGATGTTTTACAAGATCCTGATGAAGGAGTCAACTATTTCAAGAACACGCTGAAGAAGTACTTTTTGAAAGGTGCGACCAACGTGTATCTGTACAGACTCCTCAGTTTCTTCAATCATCGGAGGCAGAACCAAGAGTTCCTCATGTTTACCTCAAAATTCGAAATCCTTCTTATGAGATTGAAGGCAGCATGGAGGGACTTGATGCCAATGTTTACGGCACAGTCCCCATCATTTCGACAGTCCGTACAGGACGCAAATGCAAGAACAATTGCTCGACATCAGCAAGCAGCCGGTGTTCGAGCACCGCCTCCAGCCCTGCTCAATGAGGACGATCCGACAGTCCTCAGACAGTATATCCAAGGAATGCAGGACAGACAGCGGGACGCATTTCCCTTCGGGGATAATCTCATTGCACAGTTTTTCATTATTCAAAGTGAGTTGTCAGATCAGCAACGAGAAAGACTGACAAGTGCAATGTCATTAAGAAACATCTCACTTGAGAACTATTCCTATGAGATGCTGAAGACGCATTACCATGAACTCTTCATCACCACGAGGACATCGATCCAAGATCCATCCATCCGACCTCAAGGAGGCAGCCAAAGCAACACATTCTTCATCGTCGAACAAGGTGAATACGAAGGAGAAGAAGGCTTCTGGGTTGAGGATGAAGAAGGACTTGAAGGGTTCATGTCAAACAACGATGAAGAGACGTTCTGGGTCCTCGAGGAGAACGATGCGTTCATAGCAAGAAAAGTGTCGGGGCGGAACTTCAAGTTCAAGAAGAGAAAAGGAAAAGGAAAATCAGGAAACAAAAAAGGGCAGTCACCAACGAGGTGGCTTTAAACCCTTCAGAAAAAGCGGTTCTGGCGGAAAGGCCAATATGGCCCGAAAACTATGATCCCTACGACCAGGCATATTGGGGAAAAGGCAGAGGAAAGAAGGGAAAGAAAGGAACATCAAAATTCCAATATCCCTATGATGGAAACAAAGGTTATCCATCCTATGAGAGTGGTAAAGGAAAGGGCGGACAGGAGAAAGGAAAATCCAAGACGTTCGCAGCCACTGCAGAAAAGACGGAGGAGCAGCCCGCCATCCAGCAGACTGCACCATCCATAGAGCCTACCTATGCCGGTTGGACAGACCAAGATTGGGATCAATCATGGACATGGAATGAA